CCTCCTCCTTCTCGTCCTCCTCCTCCTCTTATTATGATTGATTTCCGTCTTAGTTTTCGTATTTTTCTTAGCCATAGTATTATTGTTACTACTCTTATTGTTATTATCAGGCGTATGCGTATTAATAATATTATTATTATTCGTATTATTCGCACTCTTTTTATCATTAGTATTAGTAGTAGTGGTGGTAGTAGTAGTAGTAGTAGTAGTAGCAGCAGCAGTAGTATTCGTAGTGTTCTTATCATTATTCTTAGTTTATTATCATGCGGAGTAGTCGTCATATCCTTCTCCGTGTTATGGTTATCCTCGATATTATCATGTTTCTTCTTATCACCATTCCGAAAAATATTACGAGTCGTTTTAGTAGTACTATTTTTCTGATTGGCATTATGGTATTCTTCTAATTCTTAGCATTATTCATATTCTTATTCATATTAGTGTTAGTGTTATTATTATTCTTAGTAGTCGTATTATTGTTATTGTTGTTGATATTGGTCGTGTCAGTATGCTGAACATTATTGTTAGTAGCATTAATAGTATTAGTATGTTTAGTGTGCTTCTTACTGTTAGCATTATTCGTCTTATTCGTAGTACTGCTACTATTGTTATTATTGTTATTGCCATGATTAATATTGTTCTTATTAGTATTAGTCGTGTTATTCTTATTATTCGTATTAGTTTCCTTAGTCGTACACTTACTATTCCTATCAATAATAGTACTATTGTTCGTATAATTAGTCGTCTTACGTTTCTTCTCATTATTACTACTATGATTCTTATTCGTCATAGCATATTTAGTGTTCTTCTTATTATTATTATTCAGAATCATCGTTGCATTCTTCATACTATCATTCTTATTATTCTTCAGTTTCTTCTTCTTAGTAGAAGTATTGTTTTCGTTAGTATTATGCTCTTCTGTTTCTTCCTCCTCCTCCTTCTCCTTTTCCTCCTCCGCCTCCTCCTCCTCGTCCTCCTCGTCCTCCTCGTCCTCCTCGTCCTCCTCCTCCTCCGCCTCCTCATGTTCCTCCTCGTCCTCCTCTTACTCCTCCTCCTCCTCCTCCTCCTCCTCCTCCTCCTCCTCCTCCTCCTCCTCCTCCTCCTCCTCCTCCTCCTCCTCTCCTCCTCCTACTCTCCTCCTCCTCCTCCTCCTCCTCCTCCTCCTCCTCATCCTCCTCCTCCTCCTGTTCCTTCTCCTCCTCTTCCTCCTCCTCCTCCTCATCATCATCATCATCAGCAGCAACAGCATCGGCATCAGCAACATCATCATCATCATCATCATCATCATCATCAGCATCATCATCAACAACAACATCAGCATCAGCATCATCAGCATCAGGAGCAGCAGCATCAGCAGCAGCAGCATCATCATCACCAGCATCATTATCAGCAGCAGCATCATCAGCATCATCATCAGCATCATCAGCATCATCAACATCGTCATCATCATCCTCATCATCCTCATCATCAGCATCATCCGCATCATAGTATTCATCATCATCAGCATCAGCATAATCATAATTACCATTATCATCAGCATAATCGTTATCGTCGTCACCATCACCATCATCAGCATCATCATCATAATCAGCATCATCAGCATTATCATCATCAGCATCATCACCACCATCAGCATCATCAGCATCATCAGCATCATCAGCATCATCAGCATCATCAGCATCGACAGCATCGACATCATCATCAGCAGCATCACCATCACCACCACCAACACCATCATCATCAGCATCAGCAGCAGCATCATCAGCATCATCAGCATCGTCAGCATGATCAGCATCATCAGCAACGTCATCATCATCAGCAGCAGCATCATCACCACCACCATCACCATCACCACCATCATCATCAGCAGCATCATCATCAGCATCGGCAGCATCATCATCACCACCATCAGCATCATCTGCAACATCAGCATCATCAGCATCGTCATCATCATCAGCAAAAACATCATCACCACCATCACCATCACCATCACCATCATCATCATCATAATCATCATCATAATCATCATCATCAGCAGCATCATCATCAGCATCATCATCATCATCATCATCATCATCATCATCATCATCATCATCATCATCATCATCATCATCATCATCATCATCATCATCATCATCATCATCATCATCATCATCATCATCATCATCATCATCATCATCATCATCATCCGCCTCCACCTGCGCCTCCGCATCCTCCTCCTTCTCCTCCTCCTTCTCCTCCTCTTCCTCTTTCTCCTCGTCCTCGTCCTCATCCGCCTCCTCCGCCTCCTCCTCCTCCTCATCCTCCTCATCCTCCTCCTCCTCCTCTTCCTCCTCCTCCTCCTCCTCTTTAGTCCTTTCCCTTGCCAGCGTGGGCCTCGCGCAGTGACTCCTTGCAAACGATGCGGCGCAGTCCAGGTGGTGCAATCTGAGTGGTGCAATTCACTTTGACCGTCTTGAAGCTGTCCTCTCCACTGCTCGTGCAAACATCCCACCCTCCCACCCGCAACTTGGTCGCAAGACATCTTAAGACAAGACCGTGACGGTAGGTACCACATGGCACTTGGCCACGACACCGACGCCGACGACGACAGCGACAATACATGTGGCGCAAAGCAACGCGAAGCAACGCAAAGCAGTGCAGCGCAATACAATGCAGTGCAAAACGATGCAGGTCAATACCAAATGACGCAAGCAGCGCAAAAAAAAACGCAAATCGACGCAACACAGTGCGTAGCAGTGCAGAGAAGCTTGCAGCAACGCGAAACCACGCAGTACAAAACAATGCAACGGCAACGCAAAGCAACGACAAGCAACGCAGCGCTAAGCAATGCAAAGCAATGCGAAGCTATGCGAAACAAAGCAATGCAAAGCAACGCAGAGCACCGCAAAGCAACACAAAGCAACGCAGAGTAGTGCAAAAAGCAACGCAAAGCAAATCAAAGCAAGGCAAAGTCACACAAAGTCGCGAAGAGGCGGCGACGGGGCGGCGGCGGCGAGCACGAGCCGCCAGACCGATAATCAGGCTCACACGACGGGCGGCGACGAGGCGGCGACGGGGCGGCGACGCCGAGCACGGGGCCGCCAGACAGACATTCGGGCCCAGACGACGGGCGGCGACGAGGCGGCGACGGGGCGGCGACGCCGAGCACGGGGCCACTTCATCTGAAGGTCCGCCGACCCCAGAGGCGTGTGCGGAATCCTCCTGCACCATCTACCTAGCTTTCCGCCGCCCAAAACGCCTGCACCCCCACCGCGTGGGAGCTGTGCCCAGGGTGCACAGAGCCGACCTGGATCCCCCACCAGCCTCCTGCAGCCTCTGAGTTAGGTTTTTAAGACCCACCCGCCCTGCAAAACTCCGACCCAGACCCCCCCCGCCGACCCCCGCCCCGCCCGACACCCCGAGTCTCCTGCAGCCTCTGAGCTACGTTTATTTTCGGGCCCCCCCGACCCGACCTCTCCTAGCCCGAAACCGACCCTGACCCCCCACCAGGTCCTCACCACGCCTCCAGCTGGCCCCCCACCACGCCTCCACCTGGTCCGACCACCGTACCGTCCTTGGAGCCTTGTTCTTGGGCCCCCCCCACCCGACACATCCTAGCCCTGAACCGACCCTGACCCCCAAACCAGGTCTCCACCTGCCCCCCCACCCCCAAATCACCACCTAGCCCTTACCAGGTCTCCATCTGGCCCCCACCAGGTGCCACCTCGCCCCCACCAGGTGCCCACCTCGCCCGACGCCCGCACCGTCCTGAGAGCGTTGTTCTTGCGCCCCCCCCCACCCGACGCATCCTAGACCGGAACCGACCCTGACCCCCCAGGTCTCCACGTGGCCCCTACCAGGTCTCCACCTGCCCCCACCAGGCCTCCACCTGGCCCCCACCACGTGCCTAACCTCGCCCCCACCAGGTGCCCACCTCGCCCGACCCCCACACCATCCTGGGAGCTCTGTTTTGGGCCCCCTACTCCAAGCGCGCCAGCCATTGCTGAACCGGGGCAGATCGGACCAGAACAAATCAGGGATCCCTAAGGTTCAGCGGTTTGGGAGGATGGCATCGGGCGCCGCGGTCCTTCCAGAGCGCTCCAGAACGTCCTGAGAGCGTTCTGGAACGCTGTCAGAGCGATTCATCCCAGCCCTGGGCCCACAAACCCCTCCTCCACCACCTCTGGCGAAGCACGGCGTTGGCAGGGCACGGCGTCGGCGAGGGTGGCTGCTGTTCAGCCTGTGGTGCCCCACGAGCTATTCTGCCACCGCGCTCCTCCTCCTCCTCCTCCTCCTCCTCCTCCTCCTCCTCCTCCTCCTCCTCCTCCTCCTCCTCCTCCTCCTCCTCCTCCTCCTCCTTCCCTTCCTCCTCCCTCCTCCTCCTCCTCCTCCTCCTCCTCCTCCTCCTCCTCCTCCTCCTCCTCCTCCTCCTGCTACTGCTCCTCCTCCTCCTCCTCCTTCTTCATCCTTTTCCTTTCAAATAACTCCTGCCTGGCGGCGCAGCCACAGGTCGCCCCGAACACACCCCCGGCAGCAGCTTCCCCAGACGGCCTTCGGCGACCCAGAGAGTCCTCGCCATTCTCGGCATCTGGCCGCCGCTTCTGGAACACAGGACATGTCCAGAAATGGCCCAATGTGGAGAGCCAGCGCTTGGTTTTGGGGTCGGTCCCGAGGGCGGCGATTCGAAGAAACCGAATCGCTGGGGGTCTTGACATGCGTCAACACCGTGCCCCGTCAGTGAGGGTGCGCAGCAAGCAGGCTTGAGTTGCATTGACTCGCGAAGTCGGATCGGATCGGAAACGGATCGGATCGCCACCGAATCGTCCCGAATCAAATCGAAATCGGATCGCCGCGCCAAACTCCAACTGGCCCAGGCCCCCAGCCGATGCTGGTGAATCGAATCGAATCGAATCGGAGTCGCGGCAACACCGGCCGAATCGAACCGCATCGAATCGGATCGTGGGCGGCCCTGGGCAGGCAGCAGCAGCAGCAGCGGCAGCAGCGGCGGCTGCGGCGAGCCCCGCCCCCAGTTTCACAAAACCAGATCGCTGAGGGCTTGCGCAGCGCACACGGGGGATCCCCAGAGCACGTCCTAGGCGCGCGAAATGATTGGAGGGCCACGCGGTTGGGGCGGCAACCGGATGCGGCTAGCCAACTGGCGCAGAAGTAGCGGCGACACTTTGTCGTAGTGGCGGCGGCTTTACGGTGGAAACTATGCAGGTGGTCGTGGCAGCAGTGGTCCTTACCCCTCCCTTCTCCAGAAACACGGACCTCTTCCCATTCCGCGATTTCCTCCGCCAAATCATCCTCCTCATGCTCGTCCTCGCCTTTCTGTTCCTCAAACTTGTCATCCGGATAATCTCCATCATCATCATCATCATCATCATCATCATCATCACCACCACCACCATCATCATCATCATCATCAGATCAGCAGCACCATCAGCATCATCATCGTCATCATCATCATCATCATCAGCATCATCATCATCATCACCATGAGCATCAGGTTCATGATCATCATCATACTCAGAATCGTCACTATCATCATCACAAGCATCAGCATCGAAAATTCTACTGCCGCCTCAATAAAGCCAATCAACATCATCGGCAAAATCATCGTCACCACCATTGCACCGTCACCGCCATCACCACCACCACCACCACCACCATCATGATCGTCAGCATGGTCATCATCATCCTCATGATCACCATCACCCGTCTCCACATCCCCCCCTGTTGGGGCATCTTGCACAGCGCGCCCGCTGTGACACCCGTTTCCAGCTTCATCAACGCCGCATCGGGGCCCCCAGCTTCGCGCATAAGTGCCGCTGGCAAACGGAGGCGGACGGGCTGCCCCTCGGCGACGCAGCACAAGTCGTCGGCCTGGCCTGCCCGCCCCTTTGCCCCCAGGTAACCTTCGAAGATCCACCTCGCCGCCTCGTGGACCTCCTTCCACGTGCAAGGTCGGAAGGCTCGCGCGGGCCGGCGCCAGCCTGATGCTTGCGCACCGACAGCTAGGACGGGGCACGTTCTGCGGCCCCCCATCCGCCCCCGCGACTTTCGCGACCCAAACAACGAGGTCGGCCCCCAGCTCGCTCCAGTTCGGGAACTTCCGTAGGTCGGGGTCCCAGCAACCAAGGAAGAGAAAGCCCGCACAATCGTGAAATCCTCTCGGGCCCTCTATAAACTCGCAGCAGCGAGGCTGTTCTGCGCCTCCGAATTGGCGCGGGCGCCTCGTTGTCGCACGCCTCTTTTACTCCCGCAATGCCGCGATGATGGCGCCCGCGTGGCAGTTGGAGCCCATGTCGCAACTTCACCCGAGGGCAGCGCCATCGCTCTCCGCGAGCGCCTCGAGCAGGTCCGGCCTCGTCGCGAGCAGCTCCACGAAGAGCGAGGTGGTGGCCTTCGGGCCGTGGCACTCGATGGGAAGGGGTTGCCCAGTTTGCTCGCCGCGCGCGCGCCGCTGCCCCGCCTTGCGTAGACGGCCCCTTCTCTGAGCAGGCTCCTCTCGATGAGGGGGCTCTCTTCAGCGCCCCCTCGCCCTCGTCTCCGAGCGCGACTGGCGAGAGGCCCTGGGCAAGTTAGCCGCCCTGCCAAGGCCCTGCGCCCTGGGGGCCAGGCCGCGGCGCCCGCGGTCTGGAACGCGGCGTCGCCCCGCCCGCGCTCTAGCGGCCGGAGTCATGCGGGCAGCGTCGGCAGCGGCCCCTGGCACGCGCCGCTCGCCGCAAACTGCGGCCTCCCGCGATGGACCCGCCCCGCGGGTCAGCGGTCAGCCCGGGAAACCGCCCAATGACGCGCGTCGGCTTCGGGCACGGCGCGCCGAAGCTGTTCCGATGGAGGGCCGCCGCGCGCGCGCCGCCGAGGGCGTGGATCACGCCCACCACTGGCAGCTGCCACATGCTGGCGGGGCGCTGACCGCGGAGCCGGCCATGGTGGGCGGCGCCGGGGCCCTCGGGCTGCCCACGAAGGCTGGCCGCCTGCTTGCCGCTCGTCACCGGGGTCTCAGCGCGCGGAGGGCGAAGTCTGCGAGTTGGTTGGATGCCTCGCAAGCCAATGTTCACGCCCCACCAGCCAAGGGAAAACCCAAGGGTCTCTCCGACCGCGCTGGTCAAGGCCCCGGGCGGCTCACCCACCCAACCCGTAACCAGAGGCGCTGCGGGGGGGCGAAACCACGAGCATGCCCATTTCGCCTGCTGCCAGCCCCCTGAGGCGTCGCCCTGCAGCACCCCTGTCGGAGAGGTCGGCGTCGCCCGACCTTGCCAGGCCCACCTCCTCCAGGTGCGCTGGCACCCCGAGGCCGCGCACGAATGTTGCGACATCTGCTCGTCGGTTGCGCCCTGCGACAAAATGAAGCACTTGCAGCTGAAGCCATGGCCCCCGCGGGCGCCCGGCCTGTCCCGCCCATGCCCTCTCCTCGTCGGGGTTGCCCCTGGCCAGGGCGCATGGAGACGCCCCCCCCATGGGCTTCGCCTGCGGACGTCAACCTTCCCAATTGCGGGGTGGGGGCCCGCCCCCGGGGTCGCCCGGCGCCTCTCCCTCGCCGAGGACCTCCTCGGCGAGCCGCCACTCGCCCCTCCCGGGTGCGCGCCGGCGCGGCCCCCGTCCCGACGGGTCGCACGAGGCCCCGCTAATGCCCGCCATGCGGAGACTGCCGCCTGCCCACTTCGCCCCGCGGAGCGCGGGCTGCCCGCCTGCGGCGCCCCGCCAGGAGGGCGCGGCCACCTGGGGCCGCTGGGCCCGATTCTGCGGACGGCGACAGCGGGGGGCGCGGCCGAGCTGGCCCTGAGCAGCCGCCGTCGTCTCCCTGGCGTTAGCACCGCAAGCCGCCTCTGCCTTGCGGCGCCAGCAAAGGTCCGTCTGCCATTCGGGGCACCCTGGATCGGCAGCGCCGCCGCGGGGAGGCCCGAAAGGGCCTCGCCCCGCGCGTCTCCCCCGCGAGCTGACCCTCTGCACTCGCACTGTGGGACGCGACGTGCGAAGCAGAGAGAGCCCACGCCCAGATCAGCGGGCGGGGCCCCCCCCCGCCGCCGCCGCGGCTGCCGCCGCGGCTGCCGAGGCCAGCGGCGGGCCGCCAAGCCACCGAGCAGGGCCAGCGGGGTCGCGAATTGCCGCCCCGTGACCACCGAGTCGCCCATCGCTCTTCAGAGCGCAGCCCCAAAGTGCACGCCCCCTTGCAGCGCTGGCTGCCAGGCAATCTCGCGCGCCTGATGCTCGCACTGCAGCACCTGGTTCCAACGCGGGCACGCGGCCGCATCGCCCTGCGCGCCCCTTGCCACGAGGTGACGTGCTCCCCCAGTAGACCAAGTACGCCTGATACTGATGTGGGCCCCCGCCCTGCAACTCCTGCCTGTTCGCGCGGAACTGGCCGAGCACGGTCACACCCTGGTCCAGGAGCACCACGCGCTTCCAGAGCCCTGCGGGGGACATTCATCGCCGCTGAGCTGGGCCAAGCCCAGGTCAAGAGGTCGGGATCCTCGTCCTCATCGGCTGAGTAGGCCAACGTGAAAACCTACTCCCTGATGTCCCCCCGCTCGATCTCTGTCTACCTGATCTCTCCTCGAGCTTCAATACTATGCTTGTCGAAATTTAGCCGCATCGCCCAGTGATTGGTTTTGCTCGACTGCTTGACTCCATGGCGCGCGCCGGCCTCGCCCTGCGTCTCCCGCCGCGCCTCAAGCAAAATGCGCGCCGCCTGCCGCGCGCGAGCCAGCGCAGCCACCTTCTCGCGAGGCTCTCGCCTGGCCTCAGCACCCAATTCGAGCGCATCCTTGGCGGGCGCCCTGAAGTCGTCGCACATGCTCGTAACTGCGAAGGAGCACAGCAGCGACTTCACGTTCAACGGAACACCCTCCGTCGCGAGGAGGAGACGCAGGTCCGAGCTTGACAGCTAGAGCGCATTATCTTGCCCATCATGCGTGAGTTTCGGCGACGCGCTGTCGAGACATCCCTCGCAGTGGGTCGCACAGGCGACGCTGGGAGCCCTCCGGGACTGCACTGGAGAGCTCGCGGGTCTCAGTCAAACCGTTTGAACTCAAAGGTTGCGGACCTAGCAACGGCCCCCTGGCTCGGCAGAGCGATGTTGACATGCAACACGGCCCCGAAGACCTGCCCGTCTACGATGGTACCCTTCCAAACGTGATGGCATCCCCCCCGCCGGGGCCCACCCGCCCCCCGCCCGCGGCGAACTGGCCCCCGCGGGCGGGGCTGACGTCGTCGACGCGGGGCGACGCCCCTTGGTCGACGGTGATTCGGGGCCACCCCGCAGGCGAGCGGGAGGTCCCAATTGGGGCGCGGCACACCTCTGCCGAGTCTGAGCTGTCGAGGGCCAGGCATTGCACGAGCACGGGCGCTGCGGCTGGCGCCCCGTCAGCACGCAGGCGTGGCCTTCCACTCGCTCGAGTCTGAATGGTGGGGGGGGGAGCCGTCCCGACCTGCCGCGCGGGGCCCCTCCGCTGCTACGGTAGCCCCGTCAGAGGGGGGCGGGGTCTGGCGTGCTTATGTCCGAGGGGGTCATGCGAAACCCGCCGCCTCTGCGGCCTTCCCGAGAACGGCCCCATCCGACCCGTCGGAGCTGGCGGACCTAGACGAGCTGCCCGAATCGTCGCCCTCGCTCTCGTCGTCCGCCGTCGCCATCTCGGCCGAAATTTGGCGCCAGCACATCTGGCAGACCACGTCGTAACGCTTCGGGTCTGGCACATCGTCGAAGTAGGCCGAATGCAGCGGTGACCTGCCGTTCGCACAGCCACAGCCGCCGACCTTGTGAAGCCTGGCCACCTTGCGATTTCTCGCGCACGCGATGAGGTAGCTGCCGACCTCCTCGGTGCCCTTGCTCTCGAAGATTTGTTGTTCTCCCCGTCGCCGATCTGGACGTTTTCCCACCTGCCCTCGTCAGCGCTGCCGCGTCCGCGATCTACCTTCAGCACTTTTCGTGGGGGCGTTGCCGTCCCCGCATGTGGTGCGACGCCATGCGTTTCCCCATCTTCAACCGCGGCCTCTGGGCTCGCTGTCTGGCCCATCTCGCTCTCGTTGTCCTGGGGCGCCGTCGCCAACCCGCCAGCGCAAGCCTCGGGGCTGCGTAGGTTTCGGCTGCCACGCTCGCCGCTTTCTGCACCGAGAAGTTTTTCCCAGCACTACACAGTTCGCCACATCACGCATGGCCGCCGACTCTATCGCCACGTAGGACTTCCCTGAGCACAGCACATCCGCGAAGAGCTGCTGGAGCTTGGTTACGACTGCGCGGTATGTCGTCGCGTAGGTATCCGCCCCCT